AGAGGGAGGGTAAGTTGCTTCCTCCCTGCCTCTCCCCACCCCTGCCTGGGGCCAGGGAGGGCCTTCGCAGGGCTTCCTTGCACTCCCGCCAGCCTTGCAGGTCCACTGCCGGGCCCCTCATGGGTCTCGGCAGTGGAGCTGCAAGGCCGGCGCCGGCAGCCGGGACCGTTGGGGGCGGGTTGTGTGGCCTTATGACACACTTCCGGTGATGTCAGGGGGTGTGGCCTTATGACACACCTCCGGTGATGTCAGGGGGTGTGGCATATGCTAATGAGTTATGTTCATGGGTTCCCCTAGCTTTTTTCTATGAAACGACCCCTGGGCGCGGCTATAAGGCGCAGCTTTCTTTTTGGTAATCTGGAGCTATGTGCTTAAGCGCACAAGAAAAACGCAGCTTTCAGCGTTCACACTTTATTGGTGCGGGATGGACACGGGATAATCGCGCTTTCCAGGGTTTGATACCACTTTCACCAGGTATCTTTTAAACTCAGGAGGGAAGCGTTACAAGACGGGTTGAGTACGGCTGGGGACAGATGTGCCTGTGTGAACAGCCCCTTTAATCCGGTTGTGAAACATTTCTGGCTCGTGCCTATATCGGGGCAAACTGCCAGTCTGAACTCGGCCAAAGTTTGAGAAACTAGTGGTGGATAGGATTACCCGACCTCGAGCAAGGCCTGGAGTTCTCCCAGAATTATAACTGACTTCCTCCAGACTACAGATCAGTTCTTCGGTGGACATGGAACTTTGGAGGGCAGACTTCGATGGTACACCACAGATTTTACCTTCTAAGTCTACAGTACAAGGTCTACAAGAAATGGAAATTTTAGAGTGTTGTCACCGATGCTCCTTCTAAGCTGTGGAGTCTTGTGAGCAAAAATTCAACTTTGTACACTACTGGCATTAAAGTTGTGAGTGAGCAAGGTGGCCACTGCATAAATCAGCTTGCTTTGGAGTCATCCTTTCTAAGCGGAGACAAAAATGTGTGAGCTGGAGGCTAAAAAACTGTGAGCTAGCTCACACTAACTCAGCTTAGAGGGAACACTGGTTGCCACATTCCCACTGAGTCCCATTCCCTTCCTAGGTACTGTCCTCAAACCTCCAGGAATCGGCAACCCTGGTGGCAGACCATGGCTACAGACATTAGTTTTGTTGTCATTCTTCAGTTTTTAAAGACTGCTCTTTTTAAAGGGAAAGGGGCTGTGGCTGAGTGGTACAGCTTCAGCTTTGCACGCAGAAAAGTCCCAGGTTCGAGCCCTGGCATCTCTCGTCCAAAGGCTCAAAGGAGCAAGTGATGTGAAAGATCTTGACCTGAGACCCTGGAGAGCTGCTGCCAGCCTGTGCTGACAATCCTGACCCCGAGGGACCAAGGGTCTGACTCAGTATAAAGCAGCTTCATGTGTTCAGGGCTGCAATCCAATGCATGCTGAACTCAATCGAACTGCCGCTTGTGTGATCCGTCTTGGATGTATGGAGAAGTAGCACTCTGCCTGTGTAACGCTGTTCTTGCAAGGGGTAAGCAAACATATGATCTCACACATCATATATATAGGATATGACTAATGGAGAGACACTTGAAAGGAGAAGGTGTGGTGGAGTAATCCTGGACTTTCATTGAAGCCCTGCCCTGTTTTCCTTTTTGTTACCCAGTAATCTTTCGGGATATTTGTCACATGAAGTCTTCCCACTCAGTAGTACGCAACCTGATCCCCGTGTTTGTTTACTCAGAAATTTCAGTAGGGCTTACTTCCAAGAATGATGAATGTAAAATAGCAGCCTTAGAAATAAAAAAAGCTGGTATTTCTTGGCACAGAGATATAGCAATAGCTCTGGGATGTGTTGAATTCAGACACAATCGAGGAAAGTATAGACAGCATTGAGGATAGCGGTACTTGGCAATTGCTCTAGTTTTGCTAAGTTAGTTAACACCTGCAATTGAAAAGGAATCCCCATCCCAGGTGGCATCAGACTTCCTGATGAATTCTAATTTGGCACTATCACACTGGAGTTTCCCTTTGAAGTTATTTTGCTGGAGAAATGGCGATGTAGTTCAGAAACGGTAGGTCCTGGGAGTGAAAGTGTTTTTTGTATTTTTGGAAGCGGTTTCATGTACAAAAGATGAAAGGTTTTTAAAAGTTTAGACTGAAAATAAATGGTAGGCATGATTCTTGAATTGGTTTTGGATGTGCGTAGAAAACATCCACTACAGTCTTTCATCTCTGTTTACATTTTTCTTCCTGTCTCTTCCCTTTCCTCCGTCCCATTTTCAGCTCTTACTTTCTAAGGAGTGGCAACATTTTGGAACAGCAAGAACAGAAGTTATTTCTGGGAAGTTGCCAGTAAATGCTTGCCTGTCTTAATTACACGTAATGGGTGTGTTGTAAATAAGACACATTTCCAAAATGTAGAGTTGCCAGCTCCGGGTTGGGAAATACCTGGGCGTTTTTGGGGTGGAACTTGAAGGAGGTGGAGTTTGGGGAGGGGAGGGACTTCAGTGGATGTAATGCCATAGAGTCCATTTTCCAAAGCCGCCATTTTTTTCCCAGGTGAATTGACCTCTGTTGCCTGGAGGTCAGTTGTAATCCCAGGAGATCTCCAGTGACTACCTGGAGGTTGGCAGCCTTGCAAATGTCTATCCCACTTCTCAGAAACCAACACAAGAAATCAGGGGTCATTTCGTAGAAAGAGAGGTGTGGGAGCTCATTAGCATACCTCATTAGCATAACTTATTTGCATAGGCCACACCCCCTGACATCACTGGAAGTGTGTCAGAAGGCAACACCCACTGCTCAGGCTCCACTGGACTGTTTTGGATTGCTAGCTATTGCGGGGGGGGGGACGCGCAGATCTGTCCTTGCAGAGGAGGGAGAGCTTGTACCTGAATAAAACTTGGTCTTAAAGGTGCCACTGGACTGTTTTGGACCGGGGGGCCATGGGGGTGACTCTGCAGCTTACCTGGCTGCTTCTTGCTCTGACTGAGGGCTGCTGGGAGCAGGGGGTGGGGCTTGTTGCATGTGCCCACCCCCTGGGCTCTTTACTGCCGGAGCTCCACTCCTGTGCGCTCCTGCAGGAAATGACCCCTGCAAGAAATTGTAAATGGCAAGATCATGAAATGCAGGAAGCGCAAGGTGAAATGAACCTATGTTAAATTTAAATGTATTCACGAAAAATACAGAGGCAAATGTGCAATTCAGGGACTGGAAACTAAGCTGGGTCAGACCTGGTAGCTGTTTGCTAGGGTTGCCAACTCTGGCTTGAGAAACACCTGTAGATTTTCAGGGTGGAGCCACAGGAGGGTGGGGTCTGTGGAGAAACTTCAGTGTAGTGCCAGAGAGACTGCCTTCCAAAGCGGCCATTTCCCCCCCAGGGTAACCGATCTCTGTCTCCTTGAGGTCAGTTGTAATCCCAGGAGATCTCCAGCCACCACCTGGGGCCTGGCAACCCTTGGACCACCAAAGAAGACCAGGGTTGCTGTGCAATGGAAAGTGCTCATTTTTTGCTCATAATACTGCCCAGTTAGCCACGTGCGGCGTTATGGCCCCCCCCCCAAGTAAAAAAGAAAGAAGTAAACAATTAAATTCAACATCTGTGTGGACATATTAGTGTTTTGTCTCTTTGTGATAATATTGTACACTATTCTTGATAGCAGGGCTTATTGGAATGTTTCATGTTTATAGACTGTACCTATCGGCTATTATCTTATAACGGCTGTGGGTTATGTGATTTCATTACTTCTGTTGTTTTGTTAGCTTGTATTCTGTAATATGTATTTGAATTCAATAAAATCTTTTTGATTTTTTAAAAAAATCTCTGGTTGATAATTTTTTTACTTGTGTCTGCATATTAAAAGTTTAAGCCCAAACTAAGGCTGCTAACTCCTGCTTGAGAGAAATTCCTGGAGATCAGAGAGTGCAGTCTGAGGAGAGCAAGTTTGGGGAGTTCAGGGGGAAGAAGTCTCTATGGTATACCTCCCAAATTGTCTATCCTCCCAAGTTGTCATTTTCTCCAGAGGAATTAATCTCGGTAGTGTGGTAATCAGATGTAATTCCAGAAGAACTAAACTCCGGGCCTCACTTTGAGATTGATAATCCCATTTTATCCTCCCCCCAGGGAAGCTGGGAATTTTACAGCAAAAAACACCACCATAATCAGGAAAGTAGCTGACATTCAGTGACCCCAGTTTGCAAAAACAAAGCTCTGTTCTTATTCAATTTAAACTATGACATCCCCACTCCGATTTTTTAAAATGAGTTGCTGACCAATGGAATAGCCTCGTGGCTCAACAGCCCTGATCTGGTCACCCAATCAGTCACGGCCTTTGGCACTTTTAAAAACCTCCCGTTCCCCTTATCTCTCCTGAGCGTTCCGAGGCAGTACCTGGGCGAGTCTACTTTCCTGTTAAGGGGAGGAATGGGCTGAACAAACTTTACCTACACCACCCCTTTCCCGACTCGATTGGCTGGTGCTGAATACATTACCCTAAGGGCTGAGGCGAAACCACCTTCATAATAGGGGGGAGGTGACACACAGGTGAGGTTCAGTTTTCCCCCTCTCCCGTTCATCCTCCTCGGTACACGAGAGGTCAGTGGCTAAAAAAACCAATAACACACACCCCGCTTTCCAAGTTTTGCAAGAACTGCCTCAGGAGTTTGCTTTCCTCCTCACTGTCCCCCCCCCCGCGGGGCGGAGTTGGTAGTGTCCGCCCTCTGGGACGAGGTGCCGCCAGCGATAGCTGCACCTGAGGCACGCGCAGAGTCCAGAGGGAGGCTCGGAGTCAAGTTGGTTTGCGGACGGACGTCGAGGAAAGGCGAGGCGGGAGGGGACGCACAAAAAAAAGTTCCGTGGAGGCTGAATCCACTCGAGGGGCTTTTCGATTCGCGCGCCCTCCCGCCTCCCCCCCTCTGCCTGCGGACCGCTTCTCAAGTCCGTGCGAGGGGAGGGGGGAAAGAAGCAAGAGAAGAAAGCCATGGAGGGTCGGGCGACACCGCGGCCGGCCATGCTGCCCCTTCTGTGGTGCCTGAGTAGCGTTTTGATCTTCGGTAAGTACACTTTGTGAGGGAGCGGGCGACGAAACACCCACCCCGTCTCGCCCCTCCACCCGCCTCTGAGGGGTCCTCCGCCTTGTCCCCCGGGGTCTCCCGCCTAGGGTGCAGGGGAGGGGGAAACTCGGTCGCTGATTGGCTGAAGGGGGCAGTTGTGCGTTCGCCCTCGTTCTCTGGGGCGCCAAAGGAATCCGCATGGGGGAAGGGTCTGGATCCTGGAATAATATTTTGGGATGTCCAGCGCTTCCCGAGGGGAGGGGGCCCTTGGTCACTTTCTTTTAGCGGGCGCGCCTGCCTCTTTAAATCGGCGTGACAGGCAGTGGTTCAACAGGTGCTGCCTTTGTGGGCCTCGAGATCGCGCGAGTGGGGAAGATACTCAACAGGTGCACGTTCCTCTTCGGTCACCTGTATGTTGCCAAAGGCTGCACCGGTTGAACTATGGCCTGTTGCATGGCTTTAAAAAAAAAAAAAAAAAAAAAAGCTGTGTCAGGGATTTTCCACTCTGGGAAAGAAGGCCAGAGTTGACATGAGACTCTGGGGTTGTTGGTTTTTTTTTGGCTGGGGGAGCTCTCCCCGGGCTGGCCTTGTCACAGAGGCGCTCAAATCGCTAAGCGAACAGAGGCCGTGGTGGCAGGATTGTTCCGCTTGCCTCCATTTCCTGGCTCCGCCGCTTCTCTGGAAGGGTGTGAGGTGTGTTTCTGTTTGCTGTGTGCCCTGGGGTGCCTTGTGGGTAGCTCTTAACAATGGTTGAGAATACTTGACCCTGCTTGGGTTTCTCAGACAAGTTCCTAGGTTTGTGTTGTGTAAAAACCCACGTTTCTCGGTGCCTTCCTTGCTATTCGAGAACTGGAAATGTGATGTTACAACAGGGAGTGTGCAGGCCCTGGGGGGGGGGGTCTGCTGGGGTGGTCTTCTTCCTCTTCTGTGCTTCACCTCACGCCATGGCCTTTTTAATCCTCTTTTGTAGCCCCTTTCGAAGGCCGGGAGGCTGCCCCTCCTCCCCTGCTTTTCCATACTCTGTCCCCATCTGAAATATAGAACATAATCCTCTTCCTCTTCTGTTTCTTCAACACCACCCTGTTTTGTTGGAGATCTGGTTGTTGCCCTCCTTTCCCCCATTTTTCCTCCCTCTGCCTCACATGTGGGCTCATTTCCCTTGCTTTGTCTGCAGGGTTGCCAGCTCTCCACCTGGAAATATGTCCTTTACTTTTAAAACTCCCAATGCGTTTGGAGATGAGGTAGCCACAACTTTCACTTATTCTGTCCTGCTTTTTTTTTCTACTTTAAAGACCCTCATGACAGGTCGAGGGGGGGGGTAAGTGGTAGTACCAAGTGGAGAACCTGCCATTGCCCCGTTGCCCCAGTACAGGGTAAGTCTCCAGGCTGAGACATGGCAATCTGGCTTACCTGTGCTGAAAGGCTTGTGCCTAAGGAAGGTCAGCCGTCTTGACCATCTGAAGCCGCTCCCTACCTGATGAATTCCTGGAAGCCCCGTGCCAGCAGTATGTACTGTGCTAGGTCCCTAAATACATCCTGCTTCTGGGGCAAGAGCTGGTGTTGTTGACAGAGTAGATCGGACTCAAGGACAAATTCCATTGTGGGGGTCTCGGAGAGGGGTTGTGGTGTAACAATTGAGGGTTTCTTCCACGTGGTAAGTCACCAGTTCCAGTCCTTTGCAATGCCGGTTAAAGGATCCCAAGGGGCAGGGTGGGGCAGTGTTAGGAAAGTCCTTTCTCTCCCAGAGACCCTGTGTTATGAAAAATATTACGTTCAGTGGCCCAATTGGGGTGACTCAGTATAAATCAACTTCATATGCTCAGGGATCAGGAGACTTCAGGGATCGTCTCAGTTCCTCTTTTCCAGTGTTCACGGCCCGTATGTTGCAGGGCAGGGTGTATCCTTGCACATTAGCCTTGTTCTTCAAAGGTAAACATGCAGCTCGGTCCCTAACTCCTTCTGGGAAGCCCTGGTTTCATGGCCTCTGGGGTAAGGTGGTACTTGGACGGAGCACTGATCCCCGTGTCTGAATGCAGAAGTCTAGGTTGGAGGTGCGGCCGTCTGCGGGGGAGCATAATTATTTTTTCTCTCCGGAAGAGTGATGTCTGATCTGGCTGGTGTGGCAGCGGTGACACAAGACGGCCGAAACTCCCTGCCCTTTGTGGGTGGGAGTTGATCTCTGCCAACCCCCGCCTCCCTTCAGGTTGGAGCGAAACCGCAGGAGCAAATAGACGGGAACCAGGAAGATTGCGAGTGCGCTGAATATGGGCATGCTTTGTTTCTGTGAGGATGAGGCGTCGATTGAAAACAAATATTTGTCCTGTTACTCAGACGGGAGAAAATGTAAAGGGTCAAAGGGAACCATGTTCCGCTTTTTCATTACTAACTGTGCGCAAGCTATTCATTGATAGGGTGGTGGAAAGTGAAAGCTGGTATGTCGTAGTGGTTAAGAGTGTCAGACTAGTATATGGGAGGCTCCAGGTTCAAATCCCCACTTGTGCCATGGAAGCTCTCTGGGTGACCTTGGGCCAGTCACCCTCTTTCGGCCTAACCTACTCCACAGGGTTGTTGAGAGCCAGTTTGGTGTAGTGGTTAAGAACGGTGGACTCTGATCTGGGAGAACTGAGTTTGATTCCCCACTCCTCCACGTGCAGCTGCTGGCGTGCCCTTGGGCAAGCCACAGTTCTCTCAGAGCTGTTCTCTCAAGAGCAGTTCCCTCGGAGCTCTCTCGGCCCCACCTACCTCACAGGGTGTCTGTCGTGGGGAAATTGTAAACCGCTCTGAGACTCCGAGTGAAGGGCGGGGTATAAATCCAATCTCCTCCTCTTCCTCTTCTTCTGATAAAATAGATGAATGATGCTTTGGGTCCCCACTGAGGATAAAAGTGGAGTATAAGTGAATTAAATAAATAAGTGCTGTCAAGTCATCGTATGACTTACGGCCACCTCATTAGGTTTTCAAGGCAAGAGTGGGACAGAGGTGGCTTCCCATTGTCTACCATCCAGGTGCTAACCAAGGCTGACCATGCTTCACTTCTGAGATCAGATGAGGTCATGCTAGCCTGGGCCATCCAGATCGGGGCATCCATTAGTATAAGGGAAAGTGTAAAGGGTCAAAGGGAACCATGTTCCGCTTTTTCATTACTAACTGTGCGCAAGCTATTCATTGATAGGGTGGTGGAAAGTGAAAGCTGGTATGTCGTAGTGGTTAAGAGTGTCAGACTAGTATATGGGAGGCTCCAGGTTCAAATCCCCACTTGTGCCATGGAAGCTCTCTGGGTGACCTTGGGCCAGTCACCCTCTTTCGGCCTAACCTACTCCACAGGGTTGTTGAGAGCCAGTTTGGTGTAGTGGTTAAGAACGGTGGACTCTGATCTGGGAGAACTGAGTTTGATTCCCCACTCCTCCACGTGCAGCTGCTGGCGTGCCCTTGGGCAAGCCACAGTTCTCTCAGAGCTGTTCTCTCAAGAGCAGTTCCCTCGGAGCTCTCTCGGCCCCACCTACCTCACGGGGTGTCTGTTGTGGGGAGAGGAAGGGGAGGAGATTGTAAACCGCTCTGAGATGCCGAGTGAAGGGCAGGGTATAAATCCAATCTCTTCCTCTTCTTCTGATAAAATGGACGAATGATGCTTTGGGTCCCCCCTGAGGATAAAAGTGGAGTATAAGTGAATTAAATAAAGAAGTGCTGTCAAGTCATGGTATGACTTACGGCCACCTCATCAGGTTTTCAAGGCAAGGGAGGGACAGAGGTGGATTCCCATTGTCTGCCTCCACGTAGTGACCTTGGACTACCATCCAGGTAGTCTACCATCCAGGTACTAACCACGGCTGACCATGCTTCGCTTCTGAGATCAGATGAGGTCATGCTAGCCTGGGCCATCCAGATTGGGGCGTTCATTAGTATAAGGGAAAGTAAAGGGTTGTGCCTGGGACCTTTTGGGGGAGGGCAGAAGTTAGCCCTGACCTGTGGTTACCTGAGGTAAAGGGGCAAGGGACACAAAGCTCCAAAGACCGACTTGCTGACCACCACTTGCTGGTTAGCGTTCTTCGTTTACGTGCTTTGGTGCCTCTTTGCTGGATTGATAGTTACTGATATTGAGCAGTGCTCGGTGGGTAACTTGGAAGCAAGGGCACTGGCTTGCAAGTGGAATACGGAATGGCTCATCACTGGCCCGGCTTCATTTCTGTGCGAGGAAGCTGAGCAGTCCGGACGGGAGGAAAACGTCCTCATTCATGGTGGAAAGTGCTGTCAGGTCACAGCCGACTTACGGCGACCCCAGAGGGGTTTCAAGGCAAGAGACTAACAGAGGTTGGTTGCCACCGCCTGCTTTTGTGTTGTGACCCTGGATTTCCTTGGGGGGCTCCCATCCATGTACTAACCGGGGCTGACCCTACTTAGCTTCTGGGATCTGACAAGATCAGGATACTTTGGCTATCCAGGTCAGGGTGTCTTTATTCATGCAGGCTTGTAAATAGCCACTTATCTGGTTCCTTGTGGCAATTACAAATTGCATCTAGGCCAGGAAACCTGCGTATCTCTCTCCCCCCCCCCCAAGATGGTTGATGTGCTGTGAAGATACATCTCTGTGGGCAGGCTTACTAATTTTGTGGACCGTTTGATTTACTTTGCAAGTAGGTTGTTGCATTGCCAAAGAGGAGTTATTTTGTATGCATAAAATACCCAGTGAGCCAGTGCGGTGTAGTGGTTAAGAATGTTGGACTAGTATCTGGAAGGCCCCAAGTTTGAGTCCCAGCTGTGCCGTGAAAGCTCTCTGGATGACCTTGGGCCAGTCCCACTCTCTCAGCCCAACATCCTTCACAGGGCTGTTGTGAGAGAAGGCAGTTTAAACTGCCTCCCCTCCCCTCCAAGGGCCGGGGTGTGCAGGAAAGCCAAGGGAAGGCACGGTGTGACCTAATATGCTAATGAGCTGTGCTGTCAGGGGTGTGGCCTAATATGCTAATGAGTTCCTGCTGGCCTTTTTCTACAAAAAAGCCCTATTTGTAAACACCAAGCAACAAATTAATTCTTTCATGACACAAGTGGGGACATTTGTATATTCCAATACAAAATCAGTGTCACTGATTATGAGGAGGGAGAGTTTGCACAACTACTTCCTTCACATGGTCTCCCTTGCAGATGACCAGGCAATCATGTGAGGGAGTGGAGCCGCCATGCTCTCTCTCCTTACCTACATGCTCAGTCAATGCATGGAATTGTCATGTGCACCGAGGTACTGTTGGCAATCATATGGTGGTGGAACTGTTACCCAAAGAGGCAGTATTCTATTTAATTGGGGGGAATTAGCTTTAGACAAAGCGAGAGGGGATAACTGGGATTCTCCACCTATGTATATGTGGAGCTTTCCCTTAGAGAACTCTCAAAATAAACCAGTCAGATGTTCAACTGGAAAGGGTTTTATTGAAATAGGAATAAAAGGGCAAAACACGCACATACAAACACATGGAAAACACACAAGCTAGCTAAGAGGAAATCAGGGAGGAGATGGGAGAAAGCAATTTCGAGGAAGGCAATAGTTACCAGCCTCAAAGAGCAAGGTCCGTGGAAGGCAGCAGCGAAACGACCAGCGTTTCATGGAGCAAAGTAGATAGGGCCCACAGGCAAGCAGGGATGTGAGGTATGGCACCAAGAACACTATAGGTAGACTATAGGTGCTAATGGTGCTTGATTACCTAAGTACCAGGAGGGAAAAGCTACCAGGTTTTGTGAACAGTGTTAAGTGTTGCTAAATTAGGGTGAGGGGAAGTGAGGCTGGGTGTGGATGAGGTTAATCCGAGGTGAGGAGATAGTTTTCTTGGGAGACCCATTTTCCTAAATAATGCCTCTCCTTAGGGTGGGGAGGAAATCATTAGCTGGCCAGTTACCCTTTCCTACCCTTCTAACCTGTATGTCCAGACTTGTCTCTGGCTAGCATCCATTTTCTGTCATTTTGTGCCAGGCAGTGTCTTGCCTTTATGATCTCTGTGATGGTCTTATGTAAAGGGTGTTTATGATTTTCTAGCTGTAAACTGCCCTTCAGCAAGAGGAGGGGTCTGACTGCGAACAATTGGTCTGACCTGGCAGGACTCTTTTTATGTTCTTATGATTCAGGTGACTGTACTCCAGTCCAGTGCTCCCTCTAAGCTGTGGAGGCTTGTGAGCAAAAATTCTACTCTGTGAGCCACTGGCATTAATGTTGTGAGCGAGCGATTTGGGTGCTGCATAAATTAGTTTGCTCTGGAGCCATCCTTCCTGAGCTAAGACAAAAAGGTGCGAGCCAGAGGCTACTGCACCAGTCCTGTCTTAAGAGTAGGTGGACAATTGGGCTCTAAAATGCTGGATCCGAAGAAGGCAGTCTTGCTGCGTGTGTCTTCAACCCCAAAATGTTTAGAAAGCAACACCCTTCCAATCAGGAGGAAAACAATCCTTTTGGGAATCTGTGGGTTGAGGCAGACAGACCAGAAAACAAGCCCGGTGGGGTTCCTTTCCTGTCCTCACACCCTAAAAATCTCTCCCTTCTTCTAGTTGGGGAAAAAATAATTACGCAGCTAATAATACATTTCCAGCATCCAAGTCCTACAGGATAAACAAAATTAAGCAAGAGACATTTCTCTTGCCTGGAGGTAGTGTGCATGTGTGTATGCCCGCTTTGGCAGTCCGTACGGGTGCTTGCCATAGCAAATATATGGCGACGAACTCTCCTTTCCGTAGGTTAGCTTCTATGTTTTGAAGGCAATGTACCCGAGCAAACCGTCTTAAATTCTTGGGAGGACGTTTCCTGCCATTGATCGCTGATGGCAGATTCAAACGAGGCTCTCCTTCCTTTTAGGGAAAAGGTGACGCTCAGTCTGAGCATTTAGAAACCGTGAGTGTTCCTCAGGGACATCTCACGTTTTGTTCTCAAGTGGCTTTTTGTTTGCCTGATAAAAGGAAACGAAAGAAGCCAAACTGGCTTTACCAGGCCTAAGGAATAGCTGCATGTTCCTGGAACGAGCTTGTTAATAAGCGTGAGGAAGGTTGGTTTACCCTCTGGACCGAATTTTGCACCCTGGGTTGTGGGGGAAAACTGGCTTGCAGCATTCCGAATGAATGCAGCGGAGATATATGTTTGGGGCGGGGGGTTTGAGTACGGCTGCCCCGCTCCGTGTGTCCTTCTGCTTGCCGTCTGATTCTCCTTTTCCATCCCCAGATCCCGCTGTCGCCGTCCAAGTCACGATACCGAACCCCTTCAACGTGGTCATCCTGTTCCAGCCCGTCACCCTCCAGTGCAACTACCAGAGCACAGTTACCGTGCCGCCGGTGGTCACCTGGAAGTACAGGTCTTACTGCCGCAGCCGCCTGACCGATGCCTTCAACCCCAGCAGCCAGGACAGCCAGATCACCAGCCAGCTGCAGCAGAACAACCCCGGTTACAACCCCTACGTGGAGTGTCAGGACAACATCAGGACCGTGCGGGTGGTGGCTTCCAAGCAAGGCAACACGGTGACCCTCGGGGAATTTTACCAGGGCCGGCGCATCACCATCACCAACGGTAACTAAGATGTGTCGGCAGGTCTCGCGTAAACTGAAGCAAGCTAGACACCTAAGGGAGAATCGTCTGTAGTCGATCAGGGAGGGATGCTTCGTCAGGGTTGGGTATTCATGTCACATGTGACTCACATGAGTGTTTGGTGTAGTGGTTAAGTGTGCGGACTCTAATCTGGGAGAACCGGGTTTGATTCCCCACTCCTCCACTTGCACCTGCTGATGTGACCCTGGGTCAGTCACAAGCTCTGGCACAGCTGTCCTTGAAAAAGAGCAGTCTCTGTCAGAGCTCTCTCAGCCCCACCCACCTCACAGGGTGTCTGTTGTGGGGAGGGGAAGGGAAAGGAGTTTGTAAGCCGCTCTGAGACTCCAAGTTAAGGGCGGGGTATAAATTCAATCTCTTCTTCTTCTTCTTTTGTAGTCTGGTTCCTTGCATGGACTGTTTGGCAGGGCCAATCTAAAAAGCAGGGGCCCCGTGGTACCCAGTACTGGGCTCCCAACTTTTTTTTGCAGGGGGTGGAGACTGCCGTTTGCTCTGTTCTGCCCAGAGCAGAAAATAAGGAGCAAGGATTTATGAATTTGGTTCTCTGCTGCAGATCTTCAGCATTTTGCATTGTTTCCTCGTCGTTCTCTCTCTGCCTCTTTCTAGGTGTTAGGTTACGCAATACTGCCTTCTTGAAAGAAATGTTAAATTGGTGCTTATATATCAGAAATGATAAGACTGTGAGCCAGAAGTCTCCAGGTTCAAATTTCGTCTCGGCTACTAATTTATAAGGAAGCTCTTGGCAAACCTGTATCCCCCCTGCCTTGTATGGTAATAACACTAGTCTCTTTCAGTAATGCTTCTATTTGGTAAGGTAATACGTATGAGAGTGATTTGAACACTGAAAGCGCTGCCAAAATACTAGCAACTTCAGTTCTTTGCCTGGGTATTCTGTTCTGAGCTTCCCCTGTCTTTAGGAGCTCTGTACCTGCAGCTAAATTGATAGCGCTGATAATGCCCAACGCTTGAATTTCTGTCCAGCAGCAATGAAGGTGTCTTGGGGGGCAGAATGCACATTGTTTACGCGGATTGACACTGTATATACAGAGATCCTAGTTTTTATTTCAAAGGTCTCCAGAGAGAGCCTTAGTTGTGGTGCCTCCGCACACCCAGTGCCCGTGTGTGTTGGGGCAGAGTGTCTGATCAGAAGGCCGGCCGAGCCTAACACTAATACAAACTGCCCGTCTGCTGATGGAGAAGCCGGGACAGGGAGAAGGGATGGAATCTGGTCGCGCCCAGCTGTTTTGTGCTGAGCCGAGGGAGGAACCCAGGAGAAATTCTGGCCCTTTGCCTGCTGGTCTGCTTCTGCTGCCGTCGCGCAAACCTCCTGCAGTCTCCTGCACTGGTATGATCAGCAGGTTTCCAAGAGCAAGCTGATCTCGTGAAAATTTACAAGAGGGGAAAAAGGCAAGGGAGTTTGGCTCCCAGCAAACATGTCCTCTTAGTCCAGTTCTTCTTTTATTTATTTATATTATTTACTTGGGATTTATATCCCGCCCTACCCAAACGGCCCAGGGCGGCGAACAAGCGGCAACGCTGGAATAAAACATAAATTACATTAAAACATCAATAAATACAAACTAAATGGTGCTCTACAGTTCATTAAATTTCCAAGATGCTCGATGTCCCTCATTGGCGGCCGATGGTGTAATAGCGTGAGCGCCAGGGGTGATGTTCCTCTTCCGGGCGACGTCTACCCCCTCCCAGGAACCAGGGTAGATGGTAAATCAAGCCACGATGGTGGTATAGTGGTGGCAGCGGCTCCTACTCGAAAGCCTGGCGGAAGAGCTCCGTCTTGCAGGCCCTGCAGAACTGTACAAGGTCCCGCAGGGCCCGGATCTCCGCCGGGAGCTCATTCCACCAGGTAGGAGCCGCCACCGAAAACGCCCTGGCCTTGGTTAGGGTATCCCCGGGGCCCGGAACCTCAAGGAGGTCGAGACTCCCCGATCGCAGCGCTCTTGGGGGAACATACGGGAAGAGGCGGTCCCTTAGGGTCCAGTGATTCCCCCCCCCCAACAACAAATGGACATGGCGTCAAAAGATCCATCTCTCTGTTGGCTGTGGTCTAGAGCCTTCCCTCCTCTCTGTGTCCAGGAATTCAGGCACTTGACCCCTGGGGAACACCTTGGGGGAAGGCTCTTAGAGCTCATTCTGACCCACTGCTGTTTCTTCTGCAAGGATTAAGCGGGGGGGGGGGCAACCATCAGTAAGGACGGTATCTTACCCTGAGCTTCTGAAATGGGAAAGGTGAGCCGTGTTGTGGTAGCGTTCCCAATTTTGTGAGTGTGGGTACTGCTAGAGGTGTGAGATTCCCTGTGGTTAGGTTGGAGAGAATACCGTGGTAAGGCTTGTAGGTGTACTGCTTGAAGAATGTTGTCGTTTTGGCTGATCCAAGGCTACGAAGAGAACTTTTTGTGAACCCAAGCTGCAGGAGCCTTTCTTTGTGATCTACATCTTGTTATGGAACTTTAACTTACTTTACCCAGCTATAATTGATGGACTAAAGCCCCTGTAGGCCAGATGTGTCAATGTCATAATGCCCCTGTATAAACTGATGGTGCGGCCTCATTTGAAATACTGTGTGCAATTCTGGTCACCACACCTCAGAAAGGCATTGAAAAAAGTGCAGAAAAGGGCAACTAGAATGATAAAAGGGTTGGAACACTTTCCCTATGAAGAATGGTTAAAGTGCTTGGGGCGCCTAAGCTTGGAGAAACGATGACTGAGGGGTGACATGATAGAGGTTTACAAGATTATGCATGAGATAGAGCAGGTAGAGAAAGGAGTACTTTTCTCCCTTTCTCACAATGCAAGAACTCGTGGGCACTCAGTGAAATTGCGGAGCAGTCAGGTTAGAACAGATAAAAGGAAGTACTTCTTCACCCAAAGAGTGATTAACACATGGAATTCACTGCCACAGGAGGTGGTGGCAGCTGCAAGCATGGACAGCTTCAAAAGGGAACTGGATAAACATATGGAGCAGAGGTCCATCAGTGGCTATTAGCCAGAGGGTATAGATAGGAACTTCCAGGCTGGGGCAAGTGATGCTCTGTATTCTTGGTGCTTGGGGGGGGCAACGGTGGGAGGGCTTCTAGTGTCCTGGCCCCACTGGTGGACCTCCTGATGGCACCTTGTATTTCTGGCCACTGTATGACAGAGTGTTGGACTGGATGGGCCATTGGCCTGATCCAACATTCGCTTCTCTTATGTTCTTATGATCTTTATCAAAGTCAAATAAGGACAAAATGGCTGTTTGCAGTTGATCTTGTGCCGAAATACAACGTAGAGAAGATGATGATCCTTTCAGGCTAAAACGTTGTAGTCTTTGTAGATCAAAACCAGTGCTTTGAATTGTTCCCACCTGTAGGAAGGCAGTACAAACCTGTATAATACACTCAGTTATTTTAATGTATTTATATTCTGCCTTTCTGTCAAGATGTCCCAGGTAGTTTTCAGTTTAAAAGACGAAATGAGGATTTAAAACAATCCACAGAAGAACTGGTCTCGGGGCATTGATGGAGTTGTTGATATGAACTTCCTGGCCTGTCCATATTTTGCATGCTTTACACGTTCTGATGATTCATTGCTTCACTTTTTTAAAAAACCTCAACACTCAGTCTTGCAACTAACAGCTCCGTCTTACAGCCAGCAGCCAAAATATTTGGGAGCTGTAGCTAAGGATGGGGAGCTCTTCTGGTCGAGCCAAAACTTCTTCGTTCCGAATCCAAACACAAGATCCGCTGAACCGTGCCAAACCTCCAAACTGTTCCTTGTTGCCCATGAATGGGGTCTCCAACCTTGTTGAGCCTGCGGGCACTTTGGAAATTCTGATGTGTGGTCGTGGGCGCAACCACAAAATCGCTGCTCCAGGAGGTGGAGCAAACATCTAAACGGCTGGCACAGGAGATGGAGTCCAATGGAGGCAAAAATGGCAACGAGATCAGCATTTAGTGTTTCAGGGAGGTCAGAAGTCCATGGCCGGGCACAGCTTGTGACAACATGTTTCCAAACTCAGAAGCTTTATGTGCTGTTCCGTCTTGCCTGGCCTCCCCCAAAACCACCAAATTTATAGCGCGATAACAGAAGATTTTCTTTTTTCTGTCCTCTGCCACAGAACTTGACTCATGTGGGGGGGGGGGAGCCCTTTTGAAACATCTGTGATACTTGTAGCATCGTTTCTTTTCCTACCAACCCGCTGTGGATTAAGGTGTCGAATCCTGACTGCCGGTAAAGTGCTGAACAGCCGCCCTGTAACCAACATTTTAAAATGTTCTTAATAACATCCTTGCAGCGCACTTTTCACGCTTGCAGCAGTTTTCTAAATGCCTGGTTGTGCTTCTGACGAGGGCAGAGAGGTTCAATTAAAACCTCACGCAGCTTGGGCCGATCCAGTCGCGGAAGCCACCGGCCCGGGAATGTGCTTACCTTGCAGGCGTTGCAGTGTTCTGGAGCAGGGCTGGGCTTCTGACGGCTCATGGCACGAATGTGGAGATGGCTTTTAAAGAGGGCGAGGTAGATCCATCAGTGGCTGCCAGCCAAGTTGACTAAAGCATAGCACTATGTGAAGATGCAGCGAGCCAGTGCTAGAAGGACAGCATGAGAAGAAGACCTTCGTCCGGGCGTCCCTAGCACAGTGCCTCCCAACACCTTTTCTGGCGCCTGCTGAATGTTTTTACAAAGTGGGCAGAGCTGGGTAGGGCTTTTGCCCAGCATGGCTTCTGATTGACTATTGGAGATTTGGTTGGCTGTGCAGATTTTTTAAAATGTTGCTTTGGCAGCAGCTGCTACCACAGCACGAGGATCTGCACGGTGGTACTGAAGTTAAGCTGTGGCAATTGTTTTGTGGCTGGCTCGCCCCTCCTGTGGCAGCCATTTTGTGGCTGCACCCACCGTGCCGTGTCAGAATTCCAAAGGGGCCTGCAGGTTCAAAGAGGTTGGGGTCCCCCTGCCTTTAGTCGCTATGC